TCCAGTGCAGCCTAAGATTTACCTCAGGGAAGTAAGTGGGATGCACAGTGACAGTACTTCATGATTGGAATATTAAATGGCACTTACTTGGCTTATACTTTGTTGATAGGAACAGTTGGGTGTAATGTTTGTTTGCTTTCATGTTGGTGGGATTGTATCTATGGAGAGAAGAAATAAAGGAAAAAAGAGCTTGCATTTTATTGTTGGGTGTATAATCTGCCAGTGTGTGTGTGTGCTTGGCAAAAATTATAACTGCTGAATAGGCACACAACAAACATTAAATAAAAATTGTTTAAATTGAATGGAAGATGTGGAAACTAGTTATCTTCAGGGAATCTTGTGAACAGCAGAAGTTAGGAACTGACTAGGTCAGGCCTAGCCTGATGGCCTGTTGTGCCAGAGGTCTTTCTGTAGGGAATTAGGAATTTGAGACTGAAACTCAGGTCTTAATGCATGCTAGGCAAGTGATCTGCTACTGAGCCACATCCCTAGCCTTTTGTTTTGTTTTGGATTTTTGAGACTGGGTCTTACTCTGCGTCTTAGTCTGGCCTTCAACTCCCAGTCTTTTGTGGGGGCCTCCCAGGTGTTGCTCTTACAGGCCTGTGTGAAAGCATTTAACGGCCGTTATTTTAAAAACTGTCTGAATTAGTTTGTAAATCATTTTTGCAATTTTCTCCTGAAATTGTTGTTTGTTTATTCGTTGTTTTCTTTCTTTTTCCCTCCCTCCCTCCCTCCTTCCTTACCTCCCTCCTCTGAGACAGGGTTCTCATTAACATCCCTGGCTGTCCTGGAACTGATTTGTAGACCAGGTTGTCCTCGAACTCACAAAGATCTGCCTGCCTCTGCCTCCCGAGTGCTGGGATTAAATGTGTGTGTCCAGGTTGTCAGAATTTTTTCCACTGGTTGTTTGCTTTATGAAATACACATCATTTGTAATGGAAATACTTTTTTTTTTAATTTGAGTGAGAGGATTATAAGGAGTTCTCAGAATGTCTCATATTTTAACCTTGGTTCCAAAAGAGGAAAAATTGAAAATAGTACATTGATGTCAGGACCCCAACAATCTTCTGGTATGCAGTGTGTGGGTGGAAGCCAGAGCAAAACCTCTGGTTATTCTTCTACAGCTGTCTGGCCTCATTTTTTAAAAAAGACAAAAGCCTCTCACTGGGACCTTGGGGGCTTGCTGATCAGGCTAGGCTTTGTGGCCAGCAAGCCCAGGGGATCTACTTGTGCCTGCCTCCTCAGTACCACTTTTTTGGGGGGTCTGGTTTTTGAGATGGGATCTTACTGTGTAGACAGGATGACCTGGAACTCACAGAGATCTGCTTGCCTCTGCCTCCTCAGTGCGGAGATTAAAGGCAAGTGCCACTGTGCCTGGCCTAATTTCATGGACTTCTATAGTAACAGAACAAAGAAAGCTATAAAGTTAAGACACTTTTCAAATACATTGATGAGTACGTCAGGTAAGCAGATTATAGCAGAATGAGGAGAACTCTGCTATAGGACTTTGTTCTTAGACAGCATTCTTCCTTAGCTCTTTTGTTTGTTTGTTTTTCAAGACAGGAGTTTTCTTTGTATCCCTGGCTGTTAAACCAGGCTGGCCTCAAACTTATGTTGATCTGCCTGTCTCTGCCTCCCAGGTGGTGGGATTAAAGGCACGCACCATCACCTAAGGCTTCTTTTTTAGCTCTTTAATTGTTGGAAAGGAGCGCGTGTGTGTGTGTGTGTGTGTGTGTGTGTGTGTGTGTGTGTGTGTGTGTGTGTGTGTGTGTGTGTGGTCTATACATACACTCTAAAGGATTTTTATCTATTAATCACAGGATATTATGTCTGGCTCAGAGGTGGTCAAGAAATGGCTGTTTTAGGGAGTTAAAGATAGCTAAATTGTCATTAAGCTCTGGGCCTGTAACATTCCAGCCTCTCCATAGCTCTCCTTTGCAGACATAGCTTCTTTCCAGGAGTTCTTGTTCACACTTACCCAGCCAATTCATATTGTCTCTCTCTGTCTTCGTCTCTGTCTCTCTTTCCTTCCTTTCTCTCCCCTTCCTCCCTCCCTCTCTCCCTCCCTCCCTCCTTTCCTCCCTCTACTTTTCTCTTTCTACCTGTCTCCCTCCAAGGCCTTGTGCATACCAAGTAAGTGTTCTTCCATGGAGCTGTATTCACACAGTCCTTGGAACTCTTCAGCTTTTGAACATGGAATATCTCACTATAAATGAAACAGTATCTTTGGCTTCTGAACCTTAGCAACCATGCCCTTCTGTGTCTGGCTCTGTGGTTTGACTTTGGGTTCTGCGTAAGAAGAATAGTGCTTATCTGTTTGTGGCTGGATTCTTCCACTTGGCATGGTGTCCTCAGAGTTCATCTGTGTTGTAGACTGTCAGAATTTTCTTCCTTTGTTAGGCTGAATAGCATTCAGAAGGGGTTAACAGCACAGTTTATCTATTAGTGAACATGTGGGATGTTAGATCTTGACTGATTTCACGCCTACCTCTTTCACTATGGGTAAACAGCCTTTTTGATATTTCTTTGTTCAATAACAAATAGCTATAACAACTCCTTACATTCTTTGGGTTAAATTAGATAATATATACATTGCTTAGAGTAGTGTGTAGTGTGGGAGCCCTTTTTCAGGTTCCTCTTGGCTTTACCCAGCAGGTCTGCATAGAGAGCATGATTGGACCAGGGGCCTGAGTGCAGGTGTCTGAGATGGTCTGCACTTGACTGTGCTGGGGGGAGGTCTTTTGCTCCACCCCCTTGACATCTCTATAAATACCCTGGGGCAGAGACAATCAGGGCCCATTGGAGTAGGTTCCAGGCCCTCTCGAGGCTGTCAATTATTTTCTATCTGTTTATCTCTACACTCTCAATCCTTCTAATATTTCCTGCTGCTCGCACTCAAGAAAACTCTGGGGAACTGTGGGGTTGGAGGGTAAACGCCCTGCAGTGTAGCACATAGTAAAAGTTCAAAAAGTGTTGTCATAACTAAGAAAGGACCCCATTCATTGGCTCAAGCTCCCATTCAGAAGTACTGTAAGCAGTCTCTCATTTAGATTAAAAAAAAAAAAAAACAGTTTTAAAAATCATTTGATATGTGGGGGACAGTGGTGGGGCTGCAGAAATAAATAAGTAAATAAAGTCATTTGATAGAGGCTGGATGTGGTAGTGCATGTCTTTAATCCCAATTCTCAGGAAGCAGAGGCAGGATGCTCTGTGAGTTTGAGGTCAGCCTGGTCTACATAGCAAAATCCAGGACAGCCAGGATTATATAGAGAGACACTGTCAAATTGGGCTGGAGAGGTGGCTTGGTGATTAAGAACACTGGCTGTTCTCCCAGAGGACCTGAGTTCACGTGGGGGAGCTCACAACCACCTGTAACTCCTGTCCCAGAGGGTCTGACCTCTATGATGCATGCAGTACATCATATACACTCAGACAAATAACATGCATATATACACATAAGTAAAACATAAAAGTTAGAAAAATAATTTGATGAAAGAGAAAACAAAAACTTGATAAGCCTTTTCCATGGGTTTGGGATGATGGGAGAGAAAGTGAAAACTTGAATTGATAACGCAATCAGCCTTTCCCATGGATGAGATTGAGAGAGTGCTCATAAGTAAAAAGAGAAGGCAGAATACTGGGAAAGTTGCCCTTATATCCCCCTTTTCAGAGAGAGAGGGTCTTGATGTCTTCATTGGCCATAGCCTGTAACCAGACAAGAAACTCAGTGAACTTGATACTAGTGATTGTTAGTGCCATTTTTACATTGCTCCACACCAGCACCTTTTAACATCAGGAAAAGGTGCAGGCAGAAGGCTCAAGAGTGGAGTGCCTCAGCTTATCGTCTAACCAGCCATCTCTCTCTGTTTTATTGTGTAATAGGAGAAGACTGGGCTTCTAGCTCGCTCTTAAAGATGTGAACTGAAAAGTGGTGTTTGAATATATGCTTAAATTTACAAAACTAGTCAGAGCAGCTTGATGAAGATACTGCCTGAAATCTGGTTAGCGAACCCACATTTCCCAACTGGTGTCCTGTAGCCATCACGGGTGCTGCATCTAGTGTAATTGCGCCTCACTTAGAGCTTCACACTAAATTCTGGTGGAACCATATTTGAACATTAAATTTTCCTTTGGCTTGTAATTCTTTTCATTGCTGAGGATTGAATCACATGCCAGAACCTGGTTCTGAACCACAGCCCTAGCTACCCTGTATGAATTTTGAGTCATTTAATACCATTGTACTGTGATGCAGTAACTGGTAAAAATATACTGTGACCACAGTTATTGAAATCTTGTGGCTTCCCTAGAAGGATTGAGCATACCTCGGAGTATAGCAAGTAGGGGATATTTCATGAAGATGGACTCAGTGATTTAAGATAATATAATATAAAGAGGAAAAATCTAACCTTGGATCATTTAGTCTCTTTGATGTTTAAATGGCAGATATTGATTGCATAGGGTGAACATAGATAATTGAGTGATATGTTTTGTAACCTGTTCTATATTTTGTACTCTGTTTCACAAGAGCATAATCATTTTGAGTCCATTAAAACAATATTAATTCAACTCAAGATTTAAAATGCTGTCTTAGTAATGTGACTCATCATCACCTTATTAAACAGTCAGGTTTTTGTAAAGCTTAATACGTGATAGAATCTCAGAGATAGAGTTTTGTGCATGTATGAGGATGTCTATATATAAAATTTATTTAGCTTGGGAATGATGGTGAGACCAGGAATGAAGGATACAAGTGGCTCAGGTGCCAGGATAAGCCTACAAGGGGACAGCAAGACCGACCACTGCCCTCTGTGTGTCTCTTCGAGTCTCGTTTTCCCACCCGTGAGCACTTTAGGAGTGGAAGAGCGGCTGTCCCGGTGCTCAGCAGCAGTGGTAGACGAGTTTGTGGGGGAAGCTGGAGCCGTTCCAGTAGGAAGAAAGTTGGTCTACGCTCAGTGAGAATGTTTTGGTGTCTTCACTTTTTTCCTTTTCTCATTTTTTAGCCAAACCCAACAGGAAGCTTACTTTTCTCTACCTGGCCAATGATGTCATTCAGAACAGCAAAAGGAAAGGACCAGAGTTCACCAAAGACTTTGCACCAGTCATAGTGGAGGCATTCAAGCATGTTTCAAGGTAGGATTCTTTCTGTACATGAGGTAAGGGTTAGAATCAGCAAGACAAAATGGAATGCATTTGTTTGAAGCTTTCATTTGAATTTGATGGTTTTTGCTTTCTGTGAGGATTTGGTCTGCCGCTGAAGGGCATTTGGAATACTTGATTCATGGCTTTCCTAGAAGAGACCAGATGTTGTAGAATATTATTTTAAGGTGTGTTACTTTTGTTTATGTTGCATTTGTGTGACTCTGTGAAGCTGTGTTGCTAAGCTGTGTGAAGCTGTATCTAAAAACACCTGATGGTCTAATAAAGAACTGAACGGTCAATAGCAAGGCAGGAGGAATAATAGGCGGGGCTGGCAGGCAGAGAGAATATATAGGAGAAATCTGGGAGAAGTAGCAGGAGGAGGAGGAGGGCATCAGGGGCCAGCCACCCAGCTACACAGCCAGCAAGCCATGGAGTAAGAAACAAAGAAAGGTATACAAAAATAGAGAAAGGTAAAAGCCCAGAGGCAAAAGACAGCCGGGTTAATTTAAAGTTAAGGAAAGCTGGCAAGAAACAAGCCGAGGGCTGGAGAGATGGCTCAGCAGTTAAGAACATTGGCTGTTCTTCCAGAGGTTCTGAGTTCAATTCCCAGCAACCACATGGTGGCTCACAACCATCTGTAATGAGATCTGGTGCCCTCTTCTGGCCTGCAAGGATACAGGCAGACATTACATTGTATATATAATAAATAAATAAATCTAAAAAAAGAAAAAAGAAACAAGCCGAGCTAAGGATGGACATTTATAATTAAGAATAAGCCTCTGTATGTGATTTATTTGGGAGCTGGGTTGTAGGGCCCCCAAAAGAGCAAAAACAAACAACAACCAGAAGTCCTGTTGTATTGGGATGAACATCACTGAGAATAAAGAAAGGAACTGAACTGAAAATGTATGCTTGTAGAACTCCATCTTACGTTTGCTATTTCTGGACTTACTTCATACCACAATGTTTTTACGGTTTTTGTGAATGTGTGTGTGTGTGTGTGTGTGTGTGTGTGTGTGTGTGTGTGTGTGTGTGTGTGTGTGTATTTCCTACCATTGTAAAGTGCACATGGGACTGGAGAGATGGCTCAGTGGTTAAGAGCACTGGCGGCTCTTCCAGAGGACCCGGGTTCAATTCCCAGCATCCACATGGCAGCTCACAGCTGTCTGTAACACAAGTTCCAGTGGATCTGACACCTTTATGCAGATATACATTCAGACAAAACACCAATGCACATAAGTAAAAAATTTAAAAAAAGAAATAAAGAATATTTAAAATAGTTACAAACTTCAAACAGATTTTCTTCAGGTAATTTTGCATGTGGAAATCTTAGTTTATGCACTCTAAATATTTCTATTTCATTTATGTGTGTGTGCACATATACCATTGCACACAGGTGGAGGTTAGAGTTGGTTCTTTCCTTCTGTAATGTAGGTCCCAGGGATTGGACTCAAGTCCCTGGGCTTGTGAGACAAGTGCCTTTATTTACTGAGCCATCTGGCTGGCCTGTCTTATATACTTATTTCCAAATATTATATGCTGGTATATAATAGATTTCCCGGGCAAGCAGTGCTGAGTAAGATAATAAATCAGGCTGAACTTCAGCATATGGTGGTCCATGGTGATCACATACGGTAAGTGCTATTTCATAAAAGAATAGCCATGTCAGGTTTTGCTGTTACTTGCTTTCTAAATATCATGTGACCTACAGTTTCCACTTTGCCTTCTGCCTGTTCTGGTGTGCTGTGTAGAGCTAAGTGCTACACCTTCTTCTGTGGCCGTGCTCTTCTCTTGCCTTTGGTGGTTTGTTTACTCACTGAGTTTAATTTTGTCCATATATAACAACTTAGAATCCTACTATATAGTCCAAACCTTTTTTTTTCTCTTTTTGAGACAGGATGTCACTGTGTAGCCCTGGCTGGCCTGGAACTCTGTGTGGACTGGCTAGCCTTGAACTCCGAGATCTCTCTGTCTCTGACTCCTGACTGTGGAGACTAACGGCCCCAACCTGGCTCAGTCCAACTTCTGTCTCCGTCCAGAGCTGTGTGCCCAGTTAGTTTTGTTGATGTTCTGCTAAGTGTCTCAAGCTCACTGTCCAAACTTTGAACTATGTCCGTGTTCCTGCCAAATTCTCTTCCTCTAGGTCTCATTATCTCAGTGAGTGACAGCTCCATCCTGATACCAGGCAAGAGATGGGTGTCATCTGTGCTTCCTTCTCCCTGACTGTATGCTCCATGGAGCACATGGCCCACCGGGTGCCATTTTCCTGTCTAGTTACCATATTATCTTTTCTTGGCAATTGCAGTAGCCACTCCCCTACTATGGCTTGGTCCTCTGGGGAAGCTGTAGGCAGAGTGACAGAGTACTCATAATACTCCCTTGTCTCTGAGCAAGACTTAAGGTACTTAAGGTGCTTCTTTCTGGACGTATATGCCTTGTGTTTTTTTTCCAGCCTGTAGTCTGCATTTTAAACTAATACACCCTTTTAAGTTCTGTGTACTTCCTGCTATTTTTTGTTTGTTTGTTTGGCTTTTTCAAGATAGGGTTTCTTTGTATATCCTTGGCTGTCCTAGAACTTGCTCTATTGACCAGACTGGCCTTGAACACATAGAGATCTGCCTGCCTCTGCCTCTCAGAGTGCTGGGATTAAAGGCACGCATCAGCACCTTGCAAAATAAATAACTGTTTTGTTTTTCAAGACAGGGTTTCTCTATGTAGTCCTGGCTATCCTAAAACTCCCACTGTAGATACTTCTGTTTTTGAGATAGGATCTTATATATCCCAAGCTGGCCCTGAACTTGGTATGTAGTCAAGAATGGCTGAATTTCTTTTTTTTCTTTATTTTTAATTTTGATCATGAATTTCTTATCCTCCTGCCTGTCCTTCCCAAGTGCTGCTGGAATTACAGACATGCACCAACAGGCCTGGTTTATGTGGTGCTGGAGATCAAACCAAGTTTTCATATATGCTAGGCAAGTACTCTCTCAACTGAGCTATATTCCCAGCCCCTATCTTACGCTTTTATATATGTTCCTTTCTAGAATTTACTAGAATCTATGTTGACCTCATACTATATGGTAGGCTCTGAGTATACATTAATAAGGAAGATAGTGTTCTGTTTAGTTGGTCTTAGATTCAGAGTGTATTAAAGGTGATAATAACTAGACAGACGTATGGGTGTATGTTGTAATAACATACAATATACTGTTGTAATGACAGGTGACATGGTCTCAAGAAAAATGAAGTAGGGAAAGAAAGAATGAGAGGGTATGGAGGTGTTGAGCTATATGAAGGGGCAAAGAACTCTTTGGGAGGGTAGATTTGAACCAGTGCTTAAAGCAATGGTTCTCAACCTGTGGGTCATATCTCTTTTAGAAATGGAACCTCTGTCTCTGAAAATATTTATATTATGGTTCATAACAGTAGCAAAATTACAGTTATGAAGTAGCAACAAAAATAATGGTTATTGTTTATGGTTGGGGGTCACCGCAATATGAGGAGCTGTATTAAAGGGTCACAGCATTAGGAGGGTTGAGAACCATTGCCCTAAAGGATGAAATGAACCATTTGTCTAAGGGAAAAAGTGTTGTGGAATATTCCTTTACACTGTGTGAAGATGTGTCACTGTGATAGGCTTAATAAAAAGCTAAATGCCTAATAAGTAGGCAGGAGGTATAGCAAGGACTTCTGGACAGAGAGAGCATTGGGAAGAAGGCAGAGACACCAGACAAGCAGGACTGGCAGATGAACTAATAAAGCTGTAAATTAATAGAAATAAGTTAATTTAAGCTATAAGAGCTAGTTAGAAACAAGCCTAAGCTAAGGCTGAGCTTTCATAATTAATAAAAAGTCTCTGTGTCGTTTTTTGTGAGATAGCGGCCAAAAGAGAAAAATCTGCCTATGGAAAAGAGTCTAGAGAGTGAACAGTAGTGGTCTGGGCAAGTTTGAAGATCAGCAAGGAGATTTGAATGAGAGAAAGTGTTAGGAGGTATGGAGAGTTTGCCAGGAGGCAGAGGTTGTGGGACTGTGGCTTAGGCTGAGGACCTGAGTTTCAGAGACGGTTGAGAAGAACTTGCTCTGATTTGATATAGGGTGGATACTTTTGAAAGTGAAGGAGTTGAGACTGGAGATGCGTGAATAATGGTATAAAAACCCAGGCAAGGGACTAGAGTGATGGCTCAGTAGTTAGGAGCATGCACAGCTCTTAGAGAGGAGCTGGACTAGTTTCTTAGCACCCACATGGAAGCTCACAACTGTCTGTAACTCCAGTTCCAGGTTCGTTCTGTCTCTCTCTCTCTCTCTCTCTCACACACACACACACACACACACACACACACACACACACACACACGCACGCACACTCTCTCTCTCTCTCTCTCTCTCTCTCTCTCTCTCTCTCTCTCTCTCTCTCTCTCTCTCACACACACACACACACACACACACACACAACCTTGAGGTAGTGCTGAAGGAGTGGCAGATTGTTGAAAGTCACCATGTCCCGTTTCCTGTAGAACCAGTCTTCAGATTTTGTTTCTCAGATGGTACTCCTGGCTTCTAACTGGGCTAGATCTCTCAGGGTGCTGTCTGTAGCACCATGTTCTCATTCCTGTATGAACTATGGCTGCTGTAAAGCTCCACTTGATTTCTGTGCCAAAGGTAGTGGTGGGCTCAGCAGTATAAAAAGTGCCCTGGAACTGCCCGTTAGCTCCTTCCACTTGGGAGCATCGTCTTTGTAAGCCTCTAGTGTCTGCTCCTAAAACTTTGACCACGAAAACCATTTTGATTTACTGTTCTTTTACTGAGTTTTTTGTTCTTTTGGGTTTTTTTGGGTGGTTGTTCTTTTGCTTGCTTGCTTGTTTTTTGAGATAGGGTTTCTCTGTGTAGTTGTTACTGAGTTCTTAAGGGGAGCAAGGTCGGTGTTTCTGTCATACCTTGCCTGAGCTTCTGCTAGTGGTGCTCAGCTCGCCTGAGTAGCTCTTGCTGGCAGCCAGTGTTGCTCCATTTTAAGTCACCATTACTTCGTGGTAGCACTCACTATACAGTTTTACTGTCATTGTTTTAACTTCTTTTTTTTTTTTTAAATTTAGTGAAACTGATGAAAGTTGTAAGAAGCACCTTGGCAGAGTGTTGTCTATTTGGGAAGAGCGATCTGTGTATGAAAACGATGTGTTAGAACAACTTAAGCATGCTCTATGTAAGTACAGGCTCTTGATCTCTTCCTGTGGTCCTCTCGGGAAAGCACATCTTTCATAAAACTTAATGTTTTTAAATCAGATGGAGATAAGAAGACGAGGAAGCGGACTTATGAACAAATAAAGGTGGATGAGAATGAAAATTGTTCCTCTTTAGGGTCCCCAAGTGAACCACCGCAGGTAAAAATTCAAGACAGCTGTGGGATTTTTACTCCATGTGACCTCTGGGCTTTGATCATTTCAGTGTTCTGGGTACAAGAAAGGCACTAAATTAATCTCTCTCGCATTCTGGTAACAAATTGCTTTTGTTTGAAGTAGTATGCTCTGTGTGGGAGGGTGGGGGGGGAGAGAGATTTTTGTTTCTCTAGTTATGCGTGTGCCCCTGGGTACATGCACATGAGTACCCAAGGAGTCCAGAGATGTCTGTTTCCCTGGACTGGAGTTTCAGCAGTTATGGGCTCCCTGTCATGGTCCTGAAAATGGAACCCTTCTTTCTGCAAGAGCGGTTCATGCTTCTAATGCTCTAACCGATGTGCTAGCTCAAGCGCTCTGTAGTTCGCTCTATATAGGGATGCATTTCTCATTGCTGAGTGTGATTAGATGTAGTGAAACACCCACTGTTAAAGAGTTTAGTTTTGAAATCAAACACAACCAACACATTGGTTACATGACTTAAACTAAAATTCTGTCCTTAGAGATAAACGCTGGTCCCTTTAAATATTTTTTATTTTCAAACATGTAAAAATAATTGTTAAAAGATAGCAAAATATGTGGTGGTAACCCAATATATTATGCATAAAACTTTTCAGGAAAATAAAAATTTTCCAGGTTAATACACTAGGTCTGAGTTAATAGCTACCTTCTCTTACCTCTGAAGTGTCTGCCATATGAACCAGTCACTTACCTCATTTTGATAATTAGGTAAGTTTTGCACTCTTTGTCTTCATGCACACTGGGATGTGAATACCTCAAGGTCTAAAGTGCTGTCTCATGTTCAACACTTACCATAGTTCCTTTTACTTAACATATTAAAAAAAGGTTGGGGGCAGGAGAGATGGCTAATTGGTTAAGGGCACTGCTACTCTTATCCTCAGTTAAGCTCTGAACCTGAGAACCTAGGTTTGGTTTGGTCCCAGCACCCATTAGGCAGCTCACAACTATCTGTTACTCCAGTTCCAAGGGGTCTGGCAACGTTTTGTGGCCTCTGGGACACCGGCCGTGATCATGTTTCACAGACATAGGCAAAACATGAAAAAAATTAGTCTAAGTGTATTTTTAAAAGTGTCTTAAGAAATGTTACACGTTGCAGACTTTTTGCTAGTGAATACTTCATAAGGATTAGGCGTACTAAAAAGGTGCTAAATCCTCTGTATTTGTTAGAGCTTTATTTCTTTTGGTTCTGAAGTTGTGTAATTTTTTAGACTCTCGACCTTGTTAGAGCATTACAAGATTTAGAAAATGCAGCCTCAGGTGATGCAGCAGTCCATCAAAGGATAGCTTCTTTGCCTGTGGAAGTTCAAGAAGTGTCCCTGCTTGAGAAAATAACAGGTGAGAAAAGAAAGTGAGGTCCAAGGTGTTATTTGGGAGGCATTGTGTGGGAGCAGATTGTCATCGTTTTGTTGTGTATTAATTGTAATACCCTGTGCTTTTTTTAGATAAAGAATCTGGAGAAAGGCTTTCTAAAATGGTAGAGGATGCTTGTATGTTGCTGGCAGACTATAATGGCAGACTGGCTGCAGAAATAGATGATAGAAAGCAACTCACTCGAATGTTAGCGGATTTTCTTCGTTGTCAAAAGGAAGCCCTTGCAGAGAAAGAACATAAATTGGAAGTGCGTAACCTTTTCCTTCTTTAGTGCATATTTATTTAATTTTATTATACCTTAATGTATCTGTGTATCTTTAGAGTTCTTGCATCATGGACTATTTTAGGCCCAGGTAAGCTGCTTCTTGCTGTCAGTTTTTCCCTACAGATTGATTAAACAAATCTGGAATTTTGGTCTTAACAGAATTTGTTGCATTCCAAATCATCTATGTGAAATTCCATGTAATAGAAATGTAAACCCTTCAAGCACAAACATAATAGGAAAATAACAAGTCTAATAAGTCTTGTGTTAATGGCAATAAATTGTTCGGTTTATTGAATTTCTATTCTTAGCACATACTGTCTTTTAGGTCTATCATTAAATATCCAAATTATTTCTCCACCTCTGATTCTCACATTTAACATATTCCTCCTCACTCACACTCTCTGGGCTGGGCTTATACAGTGCTGTTCCGGAAAAGGTTGTTGATGGATTACATATGGTTGTTACTGGCGGTGATGAATCTGGGGCTCAGGAGGTAATACAGAAGCAGTCTCATTCATTTTGAGCAGAGAAGCCGTTGTCAGCATAGGGGAGCTGGGTTTGGCTTTATTTGAAAGACCATTTGACCAACTATAGTTCTTACTTGAGTTGTTCTTGATTTCAGTACCATGTGAGAATGTCCTGTTTGAGTCCCATTATTTACAGACAGCTCCTTCTAAATTTGTAGGTGTATCATGGTATTGCCTCTTAAGTTGATTTATTATTGTTTAATTCTTGGCTCAGCAGTTTCTCTCTCAATAAGCCTCAGGTGGCACTTGGACTGGCTTGCTCTTGCAGTTCTGAGAGAGCTCCTTGATTATTCCACACCCCAGATGCTCAACTCTTAATTTTATACTGTCCTTTTTCAGTTTGCTCCCTCTCTGCTCACACAAACTCACTTACTCATTGGCACTTTGCTCTGTCCTTGAAGAGGTTGCCCACTTGGAATGGAAAAGATGCAGTGGAGTTTCTTAGAACATGAGTTTGGTAGTTAACTTACCTGTTTGTGATGTTGTCTTACACATCCTTACTTGTTTCCCGTTCGCAGCATTAAGGGTGAGTATGTCAACAGTTTTTGTCTTCAGCCTTTTGGTATGGTTTCTTTAACTTCTGTCGAGCTTCTGTTGCAGGTATTGGACACGGCGTATCGTCTAAGGATGTCATCACCATTAGCGTATTCTTCCGGCTAAAAATAAACATCAAACTCCAAAGCCTGTATTGTCTCATGTTTTTGAAAATTGAAGAACGAAGTTTTATTATTCTATTTATACCTGCTTTCTCACTTTTGGCGTTGACTATTACTGATTTCAAAAATACAATTTATATTTGACATGTAACTGTAGAAAATAGGTCACTCCCACCCCCACCTCTGCCCCCATTTGCTGGTGCATTCTAGCCAGATTTTCTAGTTAATAGTCATACACAGAGCTGATGATGGTAACTAACATTTACCATGTCTCGGGGGCACAGTTCTAGCCTCTTCACATAATCACCTCATTCAGTCCTACGCAGCAGGGTACATTATCATCCACACGCTATAGCCATGGAAATAAGGTACAGGGAGATAAAGTACCCACATTTTTCACAAAGCAGTATTGGATTGTTTAGAGCAGTGCTTCCAGTGAAAGCATCAGTGCTTTCACTCCAAAGCCATGTTACAGAAAGAAGTATACCCTCCTTTGGCAAAATCCGAAGTCCTTTTTCTCCAACTCTTAATAACTCTTGCTTTCAAAGTAATCGCTGGCTTAAAATAAAGTCTTCTAGGGAGTTTGATTGCTGTTCATTCAGTATGGCTGAATTTTATATTGAAGAAACCACCTCAATTATGATCAGAATGTTTTGTTTTGTTTTGTTTTTCTATTTTTAAATCTTTCTGGTTTTTTAAGACAGGGTTTCTCTGTGTAGCACTGGCTGTCCTGGAACTCACTCTGTAAACCAGACTGGCCTTGAACTCAGAGATCTGTCTGCCTCTGCTTCCTGAGTTCTGGGATTAAAGGTGTGTGCCACCATGCCCAGCTCATGATTATATTTTTAAAGCTACTGTTTACATAAACTAGGAAGTTACAGAGCAAGATCTCACTGTAAATCGTCATTGAGAAGTAAGCTTTTTTTTTTTTTTTTTTTTTGGTCATATGATGTGACAGTGACTTGATATTTAAACATGCTTTGTATTAGTAGGTGGCATCACCCTGAAGTAGAGACTGAGGACTGAAAGCTTGTTTTTGTATCAGCTACACTGTTTCTAAAATTGGTTTAAGTGTTGGTGACACTAATTAACATTGTTAGAAAATAGAACAAAAGTATCAGTTTAAGAAATGGATGTTTGAGGCTGCAGAGATGGCTCAACAGTTAAGAACACTGACCTTTCTTCCAGAGGTTCTGAGTTCAATTCCCAGCAACCATGTGGTGGCTCACAACCACCTATAATGAGATCTGGTGCCCTCTTATGGCCTGAAGGGACACATGGCAACAAGCAGAACACTGTATACATAATAAATTTTTTTTTAAAAAAGTGGATGTTTAATATCTTGAGGAAACCACTCTTAAACATTTGAAATCAATGAAAACATGAAGTGCTTCTAACAGTTTAGGTAATCCCTTTCGATTAACTTTGATTAGTAAACAGATAATAGACTATTAATCTAGGCTATTGCACTTGCCTGTAATCCTAGTGCTAGTGAGGTTGAGGCAAAGAGTTCCTGAGATTAAGGCCAGCTTGGACTATATAGCAATAATCTGACGGGGGTGTTGAATGGATGAATGAATGGATGGATGGATTTGATTTGGAACCTAGAACTCCCTGCCTCAGCCTTCCAAGTGCTGGCATCGCATGTGTCTGCACCATAGGATGACTTAAAGTGACACTTGGATGTTTTGGGGGGAGGAAGACGAGAAATTCTTCTATATCAACAAGATCCCCAGTTGTTTAGTTTCCACAAACTGTAGTGTGGGGTTCCACAATATGGTCTGTGGAAGGAAACATGCTTTTTTAAAGTCAGTGCTTTCTGCCTTTAGTCCCAGCACTCAGTAGGCAGAAGCTGGCAGATCTCTGAGTTCTGAGTTCAAGGCCAGCCAGAGCTATACAGAAACTCTAGAAAAGAGCCGAAGTAAGTGAGTAAACAAGCAAATACATAATGTCAGTGCTTGCTAATCTTTGTGGATCCTGTGATGTTCTGTATTATTTCCAAATAATTTTATTGGAATTTGTTTTGCATATGATACAGAGATGTAATAGATTGAAAGTGATAATTAATGGTTCCTTTACTGATTAATAATAGGACAGGTATAGTGGCTCATGTCTTACTTAGTCTTAGACCACTGTAGACTTGAAGCAGGAGAAGCATGAGTTGGGGGCCAGCGTGGTCTTTGTAGGAAGTTCCAGACTGAAAGTGATAATTAATGGTTCCTTTACTGATTAATAATAGGACAGGTATAGTGAGTGGCTCATGTCTTAGTCTTAGACCACTGTAGACTGAAGCAGGAGAAGCATGAGTTGGGGGCCAGCATGGTCTTTGTAGGAAGTTCCAGACTGGCCTCTGCTGCATAGTGAGATTCTGTCCCAACCTTCTCCCCTAAAATCCAAAATTAATGACTTTTTTACTAGTGTTGTGAAATGCTATTTCTGCCAAGCTTAATTCCTGTATGTGCATACTGACCTGTAAGTTTTACATTTAATTGTACAGATTGTGACTTCGATTGCTTTCTAATACCGTTCATGTTTGCCATTTCAACTAATTATGGTTATTGTGTATATGAAATTGTGTGTTTTTCTCGTTTTCATACTTTGTATTTTTATTGAGAGTGCTCATTCTTTTATCATGACATGGGTCATTTTTTCTCTGTCATTTATACCTAAGATAAAGTTTAATTTGCAAGGTATAAAGGAATTAATCGCAGTATGATGATAAGCGTATGAGATGTAGTTTCTCTCACATCTCAGTTCACTGTAGTGAAATTGGTGGACCGTGGTGACTGAGGATGACCGACAGTGGAGAGAAGCCTGGACGAGGACTGCTCACAGAAAGACCTCAGTTCAGGGTGTATAGTGGCTGGAAGTTTGGCTCAGTAATGTGAACAAAGGAGAAAGAGCCGTTCTTTATGTTGTGGGAGTGTCCTAGTTTGTCTGTGACTGCAGGAGTGAGCAGTGCTGAGGCTGGAAAGGGCACAGTGCCAGGTGGGCTGGAATCCCCTGTCGCTTCCTGATGGGACGGCCTGTGTGCGGATGAACAGGTGTGCTGCCTGCAGAGGCAGTCCTTCGTTGCTCAGCACCACTACAGTTCGTTACTGTAGCAGCTGAGGGTTCTTAGGAGTGAGAGGAAATGCAGAGTAGCTAGGAACCACGATGAAAGAGGCCCTTGAATTTCCAAAGCGCAAGGAGCAGTGGTGCTGACGACTCCTGGTTGCTGAGTGAACTGGAGAGTGAAGGTGGGCAGGACTTCGTTTAAACAGTATGTTGGCAGTGCTGGTCTGAGCTGCCCAGGTAGTAGCAGTGGAGTGTTGGATGGGTTCTTTCTTGTTCTCGTGTCCAGGCAGACTTCCCTGTTGCTGGGCTTAAAAGTGTGCACCACCATGCCTATGTCAGGTGAAGTTTTGTTAATACTGTAAAGGTAGTGTGTGTTCAGAGTTTTGCACCCATTGCTAAAGGCATAGATGCTACCTACAGTTTCATTATTCCTTAATTTTTAACAAGATTCAAAGGATGAGATTGTTTTACCTATAAATATTTTTGTATGCTGTCGTATTTTGCACATTTACTGTAAACATTTCCATATAATTATCACCTCCCCTCCCCCCTTTAGTTTTTCGAAACAGGGTTTCTCTGTAATGGTCCTGACTGTCCTGGAACTCACTTTGTAGACCAGGCTGGCCTCAAACTCACAGAGATCTGCCTGCCTCTGTCTCCCAAGTGCTGGGATTAAAGGCTTGCACTACCACCACCCCGCCCCTTTTGTTTTTTGGGATGGCACCTTGAACTTTGCCCATGCCAACCAAGCTCTCTGCCATCTACTCTTATCTTAATTACCAATCTGACTTTAATAGCCAAGTTATAGCCTGTTACAGAATAGTATTTATCTACCTACTTTGTTTCTTTTTTTATTTGTTTTGTTTTTCAGAGACAAAGTTTCTTTGTGTAGCCTTGGATGTCATAGAACTAGCTTTGTAGACAAGGCTGGCCTTGAATTCAGAGATCCGCCTGCCTCTGCCTCCTGAGTGCTGGGATTAAAAGTATGTGCCACCACTGCCTGTTTCTTTGAGTTTCTTACTGTTAAATTATTGGCTTAAATAACATTTTGGTGTGTCTATTACATTTGACTTCTTGCTGTTGGAAAAATATTGCTCTGAATCTCTTTCAAGTTAAATCTTTGCTTATTTGTGATAGTTTTAAGTTCTTAGGAGGAAAAAAAATTAGGCCAGCAGGAGATACATGGTTTTTATTTGTGTGCATGCCACAGGACAAAATCAACTGCTGTTTCTCAAGCACTAGACCTGGTGTTTTTGAGACAGGGTCTCTTATTAGTCTTGTACTTGCGAAATAGGCTAGGCTGGGTGGCTAATGAGCCTTAGAGATCTGTCTCCCTGTCTCGTTCCTCAGTGCTTGGATTACAAGAGTGCCTCGCCACACGCAGCTTATTTTTCATGGGTTCTGGGAACCAGATCCAATTCTTCATGCTTGCAAAGCCTCCCATCTTGACAGCCTTTTGGGTAGTGTTGAAGTACATTCCGTTGTATGTCCTGCTTCTGGAGTTCTTCCTTTTGCAGAGCTGATGCTCTTCACCCGGAAACAAGTGTTCCATGCTTTCCTTTTACCTAGCCACCGGTGCCATGATCTGTGACCTTGACTACTGGGATAGTGGCATATTTGTCCAATTTGCATTACAGCTTCTAGGTCCATCCATGCTGTAGCTTCTGTCAAAAACAATCTAGTTCTTTCTATTGGTCTTTAATGAATCCATTTTCAAATTTTCTATTGTTTCATTGATTGAATTGAAAAGCTATTCTGAGCAGAGCCAGACAGATATCTGAGTTCAAGGTCAGTCTGATCTACCAAAGAAAGAGAGAGGGGGTGGGGAGAAGGAGGATGAAGAAGAAGAGAAGAAAGAAAAGTTATTCTGGTCAACTATGTCTAAATTCTCTTCAGTAAAGAGTAGCTTTGTTGAGTAACTCTCCCCCCCACCCCCTCCACCCCCACATTAGAGGCTGGAGTTTATTGTGCACACACCTGGATGTTGGTCCCATTGGTTTTGAAGGCTTGTTCTTTTTGCAGGAAGACCTTAGTTGAATTTTAGTTTTTCTTCTGAATTACTTAGAGCTTTTCATTATATTCTTATTACATACATTAAATGTTTAGAATTGTTACTCCATCTTGCTCATCTTTTCTCCTGTTTTAACCATTTCTGGAATGCTTTTCCTCTATATTCTGTCACTGTTGGTGGTTTTGGTTTGTTTTGTTCTTCTAGAATGCAGTCTTGGCCTGTCTAATCTTAGTGGTAGTGCCTTGTCATGGTCATTTTGTTGTTGTTCATTGAGATAAGATCTCCCTCTGTAGTACAGGCTGGCCTTAAACCCAAGAGCTTCCTGTCTCAGTCTTCCAAGTGCTGGAATTACAGGCATTTCCCACCATGCCCAGATTAATATTGAGTAGAATTGGTTTTGTCAGATTGTTTTAGGTCTTTGTTGAAGAAAGGGATTTACTATCACAGTTGCTTAACTAGTTTGCAAACTGTTACTTAGGATGAGTGGAGAGGGAATCAGAAGTCAGGAGATTCATTTTAAGACTGGATTTCTGGTTTCACCTAGACCTGAGTTGAAGTTGATTTTTCCAATGTCTGTTGACTATTGTCTAGGATGCCTGCTGTTGTCATGGCCTGTGGTTTGTTGTTGTTGTTGTTTTTTAAACCTTGCTTTGGGGAGTCACAGGAAACTTCCTTTTAAGAATGACTTGCAATAAGGTAGCAAGGATTATGAATGTCTGCAATGGCTCTAAAATATTCATGCCTTCAGAGCTTGGCAGAGACCACAGCAGCGTCAGACCTGTTCAGCATGAATGTAAAATACTAATTAGCTCCTGTGTATTTTCTACAAAAGTGAATGAATATGTGCTTCTTGCTTAGTTGGGTAATTCTGTAGATTTGATTGCTCCCCTCCCCTCCCTTTCTCTCCTCTCTCTTCCCCTCTACCCCTCCCTTTCCCTTCCTTTCCCTCCCCTCTCCTCCCCTCCCTCCCCTTCCCTTCTTGATTTTGCTGGAACTCACTATGTATACCAGGATGGCCTTGATCCATCTGCCTCTGTCTCTTAAGTACCACTTTTACTTTTCTAATCTATGGACTGAAGAATTAGGGAATTCAACCCTTTAAAGTATTTGGTTGGTAGACAAGTTATAGTCTTTGAGGAGAAAGAAAAATCTAAGGATAATTTAAGTAAGCAAAGTAAATTTGCAAAATATATAATCAATCTTTCATTTCTAGTCTTTAGAGAATATTCAAATGAATTCCAATAAAAAAACAAATCTTTTTTATAACACATAACTATGGCAGTTTTTTTTCTAGACAGACACTTTTTAAAAAAGTGTTTTGTTAGAGTTTTATTATGACAATTTCATACATGTATACAATAATTTTGATCATACTCATCCCTGTTACCCTCTTTCTCACACTGAAGAGTATGTGTCTCCCCTGCAGCAGTGAACTGGGCACTGAGTTGTTTGTAGCTCAGTGGTAGAGTACTTGCCTAACATGCGTGAGGCCCTGGGATTGGTACACTGCTATCTTAGCACTGTAAGAGTGGGTAGGAAGCCGGGCGGTGGTGGCGCACGCCTTTAATCCCAGCACTCGGGAGGCAGAGCCAGGCGGATCTCTGTGAGTTCGAGGCCAGCCTGGGCTACCAAGTGAGTTCCAGGAGAGGCGCAAAGCTACACAGAGAAACCCTGTCTCGAAAAACCAAAAAAAAAAAAAAAAAAAGAGTGGGTAGGATAGTGGTGTGTGGAGAGGAAAAATGGTCACAGTAGAGTAACTATTGAACATGCCCTAACTAGATAGTGTCCGTCATAAGACATATACTATAGGTGCAGTGTATGAGAAATCTATTCTTTTTTTAATCAAAGGAGGAGTATTGAGGAATTCTAGACAAGGCAAGAAAGAATATACGCAACAGCATCAAAGTCACAATGGCTGTGACCTAAGGTCATGGTGCAACAAAGTGAGGCACTTGGTTGGGATTGTAGTTTAAATTTAATGTGTTTTGGTGGTGCTTTACAGGTGAACAGGATACAGTTGTAAAAATGTTTAGAAAGAGCTGGCAAGATGACTTAGTGGGTAAGGTGCTTGCTGCCAAGCCTGATGACCTGAGTTCAATTCCCGGGACCCACATGGTAGAAAGGAGAGAACTGACTCCTACAAGTTGTCTTCTAACTCCACAAGTGCATGTACAGACTACATTAAAGAAAAAACTTACTAAAAAGTGTATAAAAGTATTGGGAGACCAGTGAGATGACTCAACAGATAAAGTCACTTACTTCCAAGCTTGACCTGAGTTTGATCCTCAGAACTGATGTGGAGGAAGGCAAGAGCTGACTCCTTCAAGTTATCCTATGACCTCTATACTTGTGCCCTTGTACATGCATACCTCCTTCTGGATGAATGGATGGATGGGTGGATGGATGGGTGGGTGGATGGATGGATGGATGGGTGGATGGATGGGTGGGTGGATGGATGATTAGGATGGGGGTGTAGCTTAGTTGGTAGAGTGTTTGCCTAGCATGCATGAAGCCTTGAGTTTGATCCCTACCACCACAATGGTACTTATCTGTAATCCCAGCACTTGGAGGGGGCGGTGAGGCAGGATGATCAGAAGCTCCAGGTCATGGTTAACTACATAGTGAGTTGGAAGCCAGCCTGAGCTGCATGAGACAGCTTCTAAGGAATATAATGTACCAACATTTGTGGTACACAGGGTTGGGTTGGGGGGGGTGTTAATTAAAAATTTCTTTACAGTTTGGCTTAAAAGTCCTTTAGTGTTCAAGATATAAAATTTATATGTTCATAATAAGTAAATTATAAAATCTAGATAATGTGGTTTAAATGTTAGCCCTTGGAGCTAAAGAAGAATAAAATTTAACGGGTAAGGTCAAGTTTGGATGGATTTAGTTTTTAATGGATTAAATATTTCTGGGTACTGATATTGATGGGCATGCCGATTCTCGAGTCTGCCAAACAAAAGATGTGTAGAAATCATTTCTTGATTCTCTTTGAATCCATGAAACCTTGCTTTTGTATCACTGGAATTTTTTGTTGCTGAATTTCATCCAGTTCAGGAGTATCACATCTTATTTTCCTGTGGTGTGGCACACAGTGCCAGCAGCTGAAAGTGTGACTGGGCTAACACCTGCCACTCCTGGTGTCTGCTTTCTGCCCTTGACAAGTGTCAGCACTGAATTACGCCGTAGAACCTGCTGCACAAAACCAAGATGTGGATTGTAGAATGCACAGTTGACAGGAACAAGAAGCTGTTGGATATACTGCAGTACAGTGAACTTTGTGTGGAAGTTGGGCATGGGCAGGAAATTTTGAAGTTCGGTGGTCGAACTAGGATGAGGCAAGGGAACGAATCAGTAACAACAGCAATTAACAGTGCGGTTTTCTTCTGTCCTGTAAACAGAAGTGTGTTGTGTCTTTGGCAGTAGGGTTTTAGGATCTGGTTCTAGTGGGCAGTCAAGAGTGATGACAGTAGCTGTGGTGTCTGAGGAGCTCTCTTGACCAGTAACTCATGGGTAGGTATTCCAGAGCTGGCTGAGATAAAGCGTGAACCTCTTCAACAGTTAGTAATGGTTAGACATTTAAGGCCAGCCTGATGATGTGTAGAGTGATGTAATCTCATAGATAGAATTTGATTAGGCTTACTGGCCTATAGTCAGTCTCTATAGAACAGCCCAAAAGTCTCATGTTTCAGGTCATGGTGAGGAGCCCTTAACTGCTGTGGAACAAAGTCTGTTTCACTCATGAAGCTTCTGTGAGTCTTGTTCCAACATAAGGTAACATGCTTGGAAGTTTATAGGAATAACCAGAATTCCCATGTCACAATGCAGAACTAAGTTATTCCTTAGCTATTAGCCAGGTGATGTAGCTAGGATGGTATTGAGCTGAACTAGTAAACGTGGGATACTACCTAAGCAACGGGACTGAAGTGTCTGTCCACAGTTTATCTGGAAGCAGGAGCCAGTGCCAGGGCACCCGAGGAAGTGCAAACAGTGCCTTAGAGTAGAGGAGAGAGCTGGGCACTGAAGGCATGTGTGTGGGTACTTACTTGTCTTCAGGTGCTTTGGAGAGTATGAGACTATGGGAAGAGAGGAATTTGCTTTACTTCCATGGACAGAACCAGGAGCAGTACTATTATTAGTATTAGCTTTTGGTCTGACACTTAACATCTACTTCCACTTTAAACAGCCTAATTCTCGTGAGATTAACATGGTAGTTCACACCCAAGCATGTTTGCTTCAGTGTTGCCCGATACATTGTTTCAACATCAATTAAAACAAAACAAAACACACTGATCACTAAAAGGCAGCCGAGAGAGACAAGGCAAGCATTAGAACCAAACTTAACCTGTGACTGTTGTTTAAATGATCACAGGCCAGGAATTTAACAAATGATTGATACACTAAGGGTCTAATGGGTAAAGCAGACACCATGCCAAATTGGGCAGGCAATGTAAGAGGTAAAAATGCCCCAACGAAAAACATTAAAAAAAAATTCACCTAGTAACTCAGTAGAGGACAGCCATGGGTAATTGGTGAGCTTGTGAGAGGCCAGTGACAATTTCCTACACAAACACAGAGTGAGAAATGAACAGAAAGACACAGAAGTGAAACCCATAAATAATACATGCAAGAACTGAGACAGTCTTGTTTCGTGCCTGGAATACCAGAAGAGAGAAACAGAAGAAATGTGAAGCCACGATGACTAACAGTTTCCAGAATGAGTGATAGAAACCAAACTCCTGATCTGGGGAAACCAGAAAGCAAGATTAAGGAAACAAAATGCAGCCTAAACCTAGGCAAATCACGCTCACACTCACATCACAAAACACCTGCAGTGCAACAAAGAATGGAAGTAAACTTACCAGAGTTGTGCAGGCAAGAAAGCAGAAGAGGAGTCCAGTCAGTAGTGATGCCCAGTATTGCAGGAAGGCTATGGTAAAAAGTGTTGAAAGACCCACTAACCTGGGGTTTTATGTCGAAAGGCATTTGAAAGCAATGAAAGTAGTGAGTGCTTTTAGGTGATGAAGTGATGGGATTAAAGTGACAAGGATGTGGGGAAAGTTGGGTTCAGTGAAATCTGTATAACACTCTAATGTAATGACAGCTTAATGTAAAAATTCCCTCTTGATGCTTATCTCAGGGTATCAGCCTGTAGAGGATACAACAGAGATGTAGTATAGACCACTATACAAAATTTTCATTCCAAACATGAGCTCAAAGTTCTCTTTCTGGCATCTTTGTTAAAAACTGTGAAACAAGATTCTGGGAGACATCCCATTTAGATGTCACATTATATGACATTTAAAAATCCCAAGGTAATGTGATATAATAGCAACCAGAAAATGTACTAAGGAAGAGGCTAAAGAGACACAAAAGTAAAACTTCAAGCTGATTATGTCAGCTTCATTTAGTCATCAGTATGTGTAGAAGCAGGTTCTTAAGTTGCATCTTGCTTTTGAGGTTGTCTGATTACTGAAGAAGTCCTCAGTGTTGTATGCTGTCTGTCAGCTCCTGGCTTGGCAGCCCCTTGTTCCTCTACCCTAAGGGT